ATATTAGAACATAACACAGTTTTCAGCTTGTAACATCTTTTTAAACTCGTACGAGTTCAAACAGCCAATACTAGATGCACGTAAGCGTTTTTTCATCTCGTTACGAGTACGAATTTAACATGAAGTCATATTTCTTAATGAAAACTTCCTCTTTTCTCCGGAAAATCTTGATTTTTCAATACAAGAACTCGGTCTTTGTCCCTCAAAAACTCCATATTTTTTACAAGAACTTCGTCATTCTTCCTGAACAGCTCGACGTTTCTGCACAAGAAGTTCGTCATTATGTGTCAAAATATAGTGTAGTCTGATGTTTTTGGAATAACTTTTGATAGAAAGCAGCTAAAGAGTTCCGATTTTCGCCATTCGAAAAAGGCGAGTTGAAAACATCGTTCTATAAGCACGTCTATTTTCAGAAGATTTTTCTGAAACAGGTTTTCTAGGAGAACTTTGGAAAAATAGGCTGTGTCTAAAACTTTTCTACACGATTGTATCGATTTGTTTTCACGGACTGATAGTCCGAAGTTTCCTCTTCAAAAATATCACAGTGTGCTCAGAACCTCAGAATATGCTGAACCTTGTCTGCTAAGTATGATTATAAGATCAAATAAGCATATTCTTGTTAATATAAGTTTTCCAGAAAGCCTTTCAGAAAAACTTTGGGTTTTGTAAAATTTCTTTCGACATCTCCTATGAACAGAATATAGAACAGCCTAAATCCTCTACATTCTGAGGTTTGCTACTTGCTCTTCAGCTGCTTGCTCCATCAAAGTGCGATTTTATAATGGGAATCTTTTGACTCAAAGTGTAGTTCGAGGTAAGATGAGACGTCGAATCGATCGTATGTTCAATGACGTCTCTATGGACCGTCCCAAGAGAGTATTGTGCGTGGTAGTGTCAATAGCCATTACGAAAATTCTCTGGAAATCCTCTTCGATATATAGAAGAGTATATTATGTTCGTGTGATGATTTCAGCAAAGATGTTCGCTTTTCAATGGGTCTTATGATTTATGTTTAATATCATGCAGATGCAGTTTACGCTTCTGTACCATGCGACCAATAAGAGTGTGCCGATTATAACCGATTGAAATTGTACGCTTTATTACCCAAGCAAAAACGGCCCAATTTTTTGGGTTATTTATCTAGATTCAGATTCACATACATCTAGATGTACGTGGAGCTGAATCTAGATAAATAACCCAAAAAATTGGGCCGTTTTTGCTTGGGTAGCAAAAACATTTTCTCGAAAATTGATGCTCAAAAATAACTCTTTTAACAACTGAGTTTTGTACGGCAAACATTTTTCTTCAGGATTAACTATGAAGGTGTTTTCCGTCTAGATCGAGTGCTCATCGAAAAAAGTTTTCATAAGAGCCCCACGATCGGTTAAAACCAGTTTGGAACTGTTCGTTGGAAAACGACTGCGGAATAAAAAACACGACGGTCTCCTGTATAGTTCATCTTACAGGACAAAGGACCCTGCAGAATTTCAGAAAGTTAGATATCAAGTTTTGTAAAGCTCGCGACTAATCTGAATCTGTATTGGGTTTGGGGTAATACTTTCTGATTACCAAGATCTGGATGTCACCACATTTTTAAACTTTAATCGCTATTGTTTAAAGTTACATATTAACCGGTTTTTTCTTTTTCTTTTAGATATACTTCCACCAACGATCGGAACCTCGAAATCACACAGTCAATTGTCGCCGCTTACTCCAGTTAACAAAACATGATCATTTCTGCCTATGCATGCACTAGCAACTACAACATCATTAAATGAGTCACGAGCAACAAATTCAATCCACCGGCAGCAAAAGAGTATATAGAATCATCTGTTCTGACCTGAAAGCTGTCGCATAATCTCGAACCAGAAACTTAGATATCAAGTTTTGTAGAGCTTCTCGGGACGAATCTAAATTTGTATTGGGTTTGAGTGTATACGTTCTGTAATGTAGGACAATGAGATGTTGTCTCATCTATACTCTTGTAAAACAATGAAAACTGTATGGTAATGGGCAATAGAAGCTTGTCCTTCTAAGAATAATGGGTGACACCTAGGGAGTCAATCTTTAAAGTTGTTTTTTTCTGACCTAATTATTATAGTTGGTACTGGTTGATTTTATCAACCAGTTTTAACATCATGGTCGCAATCTACGAACAAAACTCACGCGTCAGTCGGATGCAGTAGTATACATGTTATTCAAAGACGTCCCAAAGAACCAATGGATGAAGATTTTTTTCCCACAGACGCAGATGGATTCAGACCTCCACATCTTTCTGCATATCGTTTGGGTTTTACGGTTATTTTACGACATAACTTGTGGCATATCACCGCCAATAATCAAAATCGAACAACCAAGGTATTACAATCAATCTTGAAGAACCAAAAGAGAATTGCAAATACATCCCTGAAGAATAAGGTATGTTTAACTGTGTCACCGTCACTAACTTGTCACCCGCAGCTACTTTCTGCAGAAATTTGACCACATTAGTGTGTTCCAAACTCAGAATAGACTATAATGTTGGCTGAAATCTTCCTTTTTGGTGTTTACTCCGAAAAAAGAGAGACCTTTTTTTAGAGGTTTCGAAGCCTTCAGTAAAACGATTCGCATTGTTAGGAAACTGTGCGAAATTGAGCTACTTCCACTGTTTCATCCTTTGATTAGATTGATGCTGCTTTTGAAGATCCATTTGTCGAAGTAGTAGTTGGAAATGGAAAACAAGCAAGCCACAGACAGGATGAGCTAATGGCTTTAACTGATGCTGTAAGCGTTATTTGCCCGAGTTTCAACAGTTTCCTTGAACTATTAAAGATATTCCTTTCTTTTTGGTTATAGCTTTACAAAAGAAGTGATGGTATTACTAAAAATTTATTAACAGTCGAAATGAAAGATCTTTCAGCTGATCCAAGAAAATTTGTTACTCCACTGATAGATTAGGTATTTATTGCTTATAATGATTTTCAAACTTTGGATAGCTACAATGGAGATGCTGACAAACGTGTAAGAGCAATTAAAGGTGAACTGTTTTCGTGATGTTATTTGAAGTTTTTGTCTTTCGCTGCGCTGCACCTAACATAACGAAAGAGAGTCTGAAAAAATATATCCGAGTAAGCTAAATAATCTAAGGGTTTCTGTTTTGTTTCTGTTTTAGAAGCTATCCGACGAAAATACTCATTTAGGGAAAGTGAAATGAAGATTGAATGGCCAGCAATACATAATTCAATTCTCAGTAAACGAAGACGCCCGCAATATGCTTCAGCTACTTCAGCCATTTGGGTTTGCGCTGTGCTCCTTTGTGTTCATTGGTCTGATGCACTCTGTTTTTATGTATAAGGACGCCGACGAGATCTCTTAACAGCTAACAGCGCTACTCCTCTTCGTTCTCCTTCTGCAGCAACCAACGTTGTTGATCTATAACAGCAAAAGCCACATAATACTGGAACAAACCAAGGCAAAACAACATAAAATTGAAACATCACTGTTTCGAACAGAAAAACAGACCATTTTCCAACATTGCGCATGGGTATCTGAGTGTTTTCATTCATTGTTCTATTTTTCTGTGAAAAAAACTGTTTTGATTGTTTAGAAACTATTTTGTCTTTATTCTGTTGTACTTTAGTAAATAGAACAGTTGAAAACCTGAAATAATATTGCTTACTGGGCTTAAAAAACAATAAGAGCGATGGAGCAGGATGGCTTTGAACCCTCCTTCCGCTACTAGAAGACGCTGAAGCTCGCGAAAAAAGTCGCCTCAACACGCTGATTAGTCGCGATAAAATATCGACTAGTCGCGACTAAAAGGCAAAAGTTGCCGACTAATCACGATATAGTATCGCAACAATCGAACGTCAAGTCGCCAAAAAGTCGCCGATTTTTGAGCGACTTTTACCACTTGGATGTATTCGAGAACAAAAAATATTCTTTTTTTGAGGCAAATAAATTAGATTCACACGTAGAGCCCTAGAAGAGTGCTCAAATCATAAAAACTTGTTTCTTTCGTGCCCGAAGATTTAATACTGAGAGTAACTGGTGACCAGTTTTGCTTAGTAGAACTGCTATATATAGCACTGCTAACCTAACATATTCAGTACTTCTCAACAGTAAAAAGTGCACTTATTGCCATTCGGCAACATCCGGCCACAAAGGGACAACAATTTTATAAAATTCATTTTCTGCCTGCAGCTGACAGACATAATTTCTTATAAAGTTATGTTACCATACATGTATTCGACACGTGATCATAAGTCGTGTAATGTATGTGTGATTGACAAAGGTCATTTTATTATTTTAAATGTTTTAGCATTGCAGTCCTCCTTTCATTTAAGTATTTTTCCCCGTCCATTTAGTTTTCTACTTTGTCTTTTGGATATTTCGTTTACAAGTATATTCATATTTCCCTTGTTAGTATTTAAGTATTTCATCTCGTCGCTCCTAACACAGATACCTTATTTTTGATACAGAATAACTCTCTTGTATTATTAAGGCTGTTAACGATGACTTCTAGGGAAATATCTAATAAACATCCGATTGTTTCAAGTGAACATAGTGAAATAGAAGTTGGTTATTTTACAAAATACAAAATCACACTTTACGAGTTTTACAAAATTTTTGTCTCATCGTGGCCGGACGTTGTCATTTGACAACATCAGGCCATTAGAACGAACACTAAGCATTTCTAATGTCTGAAAAATACACTTTTTTTGTTATACCAGTGACCGAGGTGAGAATATACTATGAGGAAGGTGTGATGGTGCAAATTTTGGATGTTGTAGATGTTATGATGGTAAACGGCAATTTAGACTTTTTAGACTTTTAGACTTTCTTCTAGAAAAAGTCAACATCCAAAAGTGCTCCCGTTGGAGTTTGAGTATGATGACTCACCCTCAAACTGCCCCCCCTCCCCGCGGCTACATAGTCTAAAGGTCTAAAAAGTCTAAACCGCCGTTCACCACCATAACATCTACAACATCCAAAATTTGCATCATCCCACCTTGATGCCTGAACATCCGAGATTTTCAAGCTCCTATATATCGAAGATGGAGCAGAGTGTATTAGTCATCACCTTGTAAAACAGATGCAGATCAATCTTGGAAAAGAATACACACTATGGACACATTTTTCTTCTTTCCTTTCTCCTTTTATTTCTACCTTGAAAAAACTATGTACTTAATGACACAAGGATTTTTTCTTTCTGTTCTACTTATTAGCAGATTGCCGTGATTCACACACAGTACCACATATACGTTGAAAGACAAATGTGCGATGATTAGTCGCGATATAAGTACATATTGGTCAAGACACGTAGTCATTAAATTGCTCTTTCATGAGAATTTCACTATTTGAAAACATATGGGATGATGCCTCCATGTTTTATTTTATCGTCTGCTTATGTTATTAAACTGAATAGCACAAAGAAGAATAGAGGAAGAACTTTCCGTTGTCTAAGAGAGGTAAAACCAAAGATCGTCCTTATTTGCCAACTCGACTTGACAAATTTACGTGCTCTGCGGTATCGAAATCATTAAGATCATTTTATCAAAAAAGAAAAAGATTTCTCTTACATTTTGACTGGTTAAATCTTGCGTGTTTCTTGTGAGTTAATTTTTCGATGATAGGCTCTTCTACTTTATTCTGGTGGTTGTCTCTACGATTAGGAATAGCGGAGAACAAGTGGGTAACTCGAGAAAGAAAAGCATATGGAAAGATTTTTTGTCGTGAAACGGAATAAGTCTTCTCGAATTTCACGAGAGCTGCGAAAAATACTGATTTTTTTTTCTTTTCTATTTTTTTTCTTATTCGCGTTATATATATAGTGTGTACGCACGCTAAAACACACTTTCGTTGTCTTTTTTATTCACTTTTTCATTCAACCACACGTCGGCATGTAAATTATATGAAACGAAGAAATAGATAAACTCAAAACTACCAATAATTTAAAATTACAGATATTAAAACAGGTATGGGATACGTCATCATTAGAAGACTGCAGCTCTTGTTGCTCATTTTTATGTAATGAAGTTAGAGATAAACTTCGGAATTTTGTATTAACGTCTGTTAACTCCATCACTGTTCTTATTTTTAATGTATGCGGTTTGAGCTCTCTAATCTCTCCAACGTTGTATTCACAGGGAAAAACCGGATATGTTTGCTTTTGCGGAAACAAATTGCGGGGGACAAAAAACAAAAAAAGTTCTGTCGAAATTTCGAGGATATCAGTGATACTGCACTCTATGAGAACCAATAAATTGTGAAGTATTTTTAGGAGTGAGAGAGGAATTCATTTATGAGTCCACCATTATGCCTGCTCATTACCAAAACCTAAATTTCATTGGCGTTTGGTTACACACACCACATGACAGGTTTCTTCTCGGCGGCATCTACTGTCCGCCATCATTGACATTTCCGGTTGATTTTCTTGAATACTTACTTGTACATTTCGTTTTCGAAAGGACAAAAAGAGAAAAGATCTCTGAAATATCGCTGATTAGATCTCAACTTAGTTCTATAAAAAAACATGGAAAAGATCTCGATTATTTTTTGCATAGAAGTTTATAACTAACACAATGCTATACCTGTTATCATAGATTATTTGTGTGACAAAAAGTTAAGAAATTGCATTTTTCATCTATTTACAAAAACTTTCGCAAATACAAACACCATGAGGAATTAGTTTATAAGTTTGGGAGAATTTGTGACAAATAAACATCAATAGTGAAACAAAGATAGTAATAATCCTGATAATGATATCAGTCTTTTGATAATGCATATCTTACTGTTTTCGGACGACCTTTTCTTTGACGTTTTCCAATTGCTTGTGGCATTTGTCGAGTACACCACAACACCATCGTACCAACCACATGAACACATGCAAATTCTTTGAGACCATATCGACACGTACAGAATACTGGTGGTAAAAAACGAGAAAAATTTAATAAACGTGCTGAATGAAGCCAATCTTTTTAAAATAATCATATGAATTCCATGCCATTGAATGTGATAGATTAACCCATGTTGATGTGTTCATTTTTTGATCTTTTGATGATACTACAAAGTTAAATGCATTTAATTGTAATATTTGTGTCTCATCAACTATTCTCACCCATTGGGCTGCTTCTAAATCAAGATCATCTTTGTATGTAATATGGGTTGCAAATGGTGTTTGTTCATTTTGAATAGACTAATCTTTGACCATTCGTTGAGCTGTTTGTAAAAATGCAGATAGTGGTAATTGTGCCGCATTGTATAATATTGTTTTATTCGAACATTTAAGCTTTCCAAACCGTTATTTGTTGATGGTGTTAAAATACAGTCACCTTCATACCAAAAACCTAATGCTGTCATCCATTGTTGTTCAAAAATAGTCTGTGGATTTTTCTAAACCTTTATCTAATTTCCATTTTTTAATCATAAGATTGGTTATTATGACAAATATTTGATCACTAAATGATAGTTATAATTGCATAATATCTTGTTCAACTAATACAAATTTGTCTTTATTTTTAATTAATGTTCCATGTCCACGAACCTTACGGATGACATGTGCCCAGCACATTAAACAACGCGCTAATGGTAATTCACACATGGCACTCGTAATACCTGCTGTACCATTCCTTATAACATGTGATATGCCTGATTATTGATAGTCGATGCCCAAACTTGAATACTACAAAAAAATGTTTTGAATGTTTCAGATGATTCATCTGAAGATATTAAACATAGACCCTTAGGATAAAATCGACGACTGAAATCTGATGTACCAAAGACTAATAATAATAACTTATTGGCTTTAACTTTATATGTACAATCAATATATAATACAGAAGAATATTTACTTGTTGAAAGTAACTGACGTGTAGTTAAACAAATAAATGTATTATTCACATCCACAAATTCAAAATATGGTACGAAAATATCATGTATTTTATCAGCTGCTGGAT